TTCGTTTTTATGTCTTCCAGCCAGTAGATCAAATTATTTGTGTCACATTGCATGCATTTTCTGTGATAACAATGTAATTTCTAGTAAACTGCATTCATGAGTGTATTGCACTCTACCTTTGCTACGATGTTTAAGCACTGCAATTCTCGATGCATCTCGTCTCATTGTACAATCTGTATCACTACACAGATAATCGATAATCATGTTTCAGGAGCCGATGCTCGTTATGCTCTTATAGCTACAGTTTTTTGTTAAAATCACCACGAGTCGTTTGCATGCTCTATTTTATGATGTATATTCTATATTCGAACGTTTTTCTACACTTGCCTTAAGGAACCGGTCACCTCTTCATGGAAGGTAATATTTCTCTCTTAAAGCATATCTCCCTTTACCTTATTCATCCACGATGCATGCAGACTTTCTCCTCAATGTCTGTCGTCCTTCGGTTGCAACATTAGAAGCATATCCCCTGGAGAAGATGATTCATGTTCAACCAGTTTGTCTAATGAGGATAAGCTGTTTTTCTTAACCTCTCTCTACCAAGATAACCTTATCTGGGGGAGAATAAGTCATTCCTTACGTTATTGTACCATTTAACCCTCATTATGCATCCACGCCAACGCTGTTGTACGCTAATCAGCCGCCTTTCTCGCTCCTTCGTTAAAGCAATTTCTTTCATGCAGTGCAACAACACAGACTTGACAGAGGCAAGGTGAATTTTTATGTAAAGAGTAAGTCTTTTCCCAGACCAATTATTGGACACGTTTCCAGAAGCGTTCAAGGCTATGGCGATCATCCTTTTTAACTCTAGCCGGATAATGCCATCTCTGGGGTAGATTGAGTCGAGATACTTAAGCTGGTCAACGTCCTGAAGGGCTTTATCTCCCTCTTCTACTTGTAGAGCAGCTGTGCCTCAGAAATTTCTCATAACCGTGGACTTCCAGCGTTAAGATTCCGACTTTCGCAACAGCGTTGCATACGGATGTCGTCAAATGGCAGAGCTCGCTTCCCATACTACTCACCTCAACAGTATGATCTGCGTACTGCGTACTCCAGGTAAACAAGATATCTAGCGCGATATCTTGAACTATGCCTTCTCTGTAGAATAAAACCTTCGTCTTTATCAAGGTCTGCACTGTTTAGAAAAAGAAAGCCGAGAATAATGGCACATCTCCCTGGGGAACTCCGCAGTTAGTAAGGAATGATTGATAACTCTCCTTCAACTTTGACATCAGACCTGATTCCTGCGTACATCTCTTCCAAAACAGAAATGGTGTGCTAAGGAGTTCCGTAGTATTTCAAGAGTTTTCGCATCGTCAGACGACGTAGTGAATCAAATGCAGTCTTAATGTCACGGAAATTGGTAAACTAACACAACTGGAATTTTGGCATTGCAGAATCAGGCAGTGTTACCTCATTCGGAAGTTAGTTTGATTTTGGGGAAGTCTCCCATCAATTGCCTGTCTCAACTTTTCTAAGATTATCCTTGAGATAAGTTTTCTGAGAGTTGACAATAGTGTGATACCACTATAATTAGAACACTCGGTCACCCGACACCCACTTTAAATATTGAATCAGTTGCTCTACACTTCCATCCTCATGGGACACGTTTGTGGGTCCACATTTCATCATATAGCAAATGGAACTTTTCTACTATTCTCGTTTTTGCATAGTTTACTTACTCTGGAAGTATTGGATCAACCTCGCAATCCTTTTTCACATTGAAGTGTAGCTAGGCCTTTTAGATTTTTAGTTGTGTGAGCGAATCTGTACTAAACAGTAGTATTGGCGAAGAATTAACAGTCAGAAATGACGAATCTGGAGAGTACACGTTGAACATCTACTGGAAATGCCCAGCCCATCTTCCGAGACGTTCCTTTAGATCTGGCAGTGGAGTCTCCTTAATGTCTTGGATGAGGACAGGCCGAGTCTCCTGACAGCCGTGGCTGAAATTTGCTTTATAAACCGCCTGAGCAACTGGCAGCCATACGGCGATGCAGTATGTAAAGTTCCATACATTTAACAATACTGGTTGTTGCAGTATGTGTGGTAAAATAATATTGATTATTTGTAATAATACACAACCCTTGTTTTTAGGTGCTTGGGAGAAATGGGGATGTCACTGCTCCAATTTTCTGAGCACCTGTAGTGCCAGACGTATGCTTCGTTTTGCTCGCTAGAGCCACTAAGAACGATGCTTCAGGAGCTGACAGTTTCTTATATGCTATCACATAGACAAGACAAAATGTTACAGTATGTGGAATAACGGATAATTCCTCAAGACGACATTTCACTGCATGTTACAAGCCCTTTGCTTATAGTTGCTTAGGGACGCCATTTATTCAGGCCACGTTTCCATGGTATGCGAAATGACATGTACATGCAGTTGTTTGTGAACGGCTTTATCCATAGTTTTGTGAGAAAGGGTAGAACTGATTTCTCGTGAAGTACCGTTAAATAGTCTGTTTTTATGATAATTTACGAAGTAGATGTAAGTTATCCATGTAAGTTGTTACCTGGACAGTGACTAATTAGGTTTTCGAAGACAGTGCAGTTTGATTCTTTGGCAGAGGACATGTCATCTGATCGGGGCGTGAAATCAGGGCAATCGATTACAAGGAAGTACATTGACTTTTAGTTATTCTTGAAATCCAACTGGAAGTTTCATTTCCCTTGAACTGCTTATTCCTCACGTTTTTTACCGGCAGCATTTATATGCTCAGCGAATTTGGATGCGTATTATCCACGTTTCGTTTAACATTTTTGATTTGCTTTCGATTCGATTCGATTATGTATGCGTTTTGGTTTTGTTCTCCATTATGTTTAAATAAATAAATACGTTGCAATAAGTGGGAAACAAAAGCATATAGGATTTTGATCAGTATCTGATTGGATGGTCTTGGTGAAAAATTTGATTTGTACCAGATCCTGTTCAAACAGTAAAATAGTCGCGTTACGTTTGAAAGCAAAATGAGCGAGTGCTTTGAACGATTTTTTAAGCGATGTTACTGAATGCCATATTTCGACTAAGCGACGTTAGTCTTCTTGTGGATCATCGATTAGTCATGTGACTATCTTATTTGAATCCATGCAAACATTTTATTGTGTTCGCCAGAGTCTCACAAGCAAATCGCTGACACTATCTGAGTATATTAAAGGTCTAATTTATATTCTTCAAGAGTCTGCCAATGGCCAATCCAATTCATTTCCAGGCTTATGTGGTATCTTCCTATCTGTTTGCCAGTATGAATCAAGATGTTGGCTATTTCTTCTTAGTCGTCTTTTCGCAGAGACGATTCCAGATGCTATGAGATCTTGACCCTCATTAACTACTGAGGGCGAATTCACCATTTACGAAGTCTCATTTTTCCTCATCATGAATGATGGAGCCGCATTACCGGTATGTAGCGGCGCCGTTACACCTAGTGAAATCGATTTATCCGTTGGGGTTCAAGGAAGTAATAGCGTCGCCAAACACCGTCCAGATCGACTTTCGAGACCGTTATAGTCAGAATATCCTATTTCATGACATAAATCATTTAAGTAACCATTGTTGAAATATGTGATTACTAAACGAACGATAGACGAAATTTGTATAGCTTAAGTTTCGTCTTTTACTTGGTTCCATCGACAAGTACTGTTAAATACTCATGATACAAATTTCCTTTGATGCTTTAATTGAAATATGCAAAGTACCACCACTTTTTAGCACAGTCAGTTTCGTTTATGATTTTTAGCTAATGTGATCAAAATTGATCAAGACAAAGTTAAGCTTTTGGGGATTTTTGGTAAGTTCGTGGCGGAATGTCTGCCGAAATACGTGCAGAGGGTCCAGGTATGTTTTGCAGTAATGCGGATTGATGTTCATGCTTTTCCTTTCAGATCGCTGCTGGAGACGAGTTGGAGGTTTTGATTCACCCCGATGGCGTGTATCCGGTGATTCATTTTCTGAAATCGCATCACGCCTGTCAGTTTTCGAACATCACTTTCGTTACCGGCGTCGATGTACCAACGCGTCAGCATCGTTTTGAGGTATTTGTTTTGCTATCTGTAAATACTTTCGGTAGAAATGCATCTATTATAATTTTAAGTTAACATTCGATAATGAATTGGAAATTTTATTACGAAGACTTTATTACGGCATTGTATGCAATATAGAATATAGCTGTTGGACTAATATATAAAAGCAATATAGCTGTTGGACTAATGTTGACCTTAAGTATATAAACTCTACTTTTTTCCAACTCAGTTGGTGTTCGAACGCTTATTCCATTTACCCAAATTTGAGATGCGGTATAACAGTTACGCAAGAGATAAAATACCATAGGGTCGTCGCCTGCTGAAAATATCCCGTGTGCATCTGCAAGCAATAGGATGGTGATGCGATTGCGCGTATAAATTCGGTAAACGGACAAAACAGTACTTTTCCTGTGAGTTCCATCTTATCTCTAATTTTCTTGAAATTTTTTATAAAACGTCGATGACAGAACAATCCAGCCTTTGTTATTTAAAGAGTATTTTGATGACTTATTCATCATCAATGGAAAAGATACAGAGACCCTCTTGTTGGATCATTTCAGTACCTCTGTTCAGAAGATAGTATGTTGTGAAAAAAAACTAGTAACCACTTCCATATTTAGACGCTTGTTACGAGAGAGTTGTTTTTAAACCGAAACATGAAATAGTTGAAATTGTTTT